ACTGTGGCAGATGGTGGAATTCAAGCTCATTAAAAATCTGGAATAAAAAACCAGCCTAATGGTACCATCTGTCACTTGTCATAAAAACCCATCTGGTTCACTAATGTCTTTGAGGGAAGGAAATTTTCTGTCCATACCTTGCCTGGCCTACATGTAATTCCAGAGCCACAGTAACGTGGTTGATTCTTAACTGCCCTTTGAAATGCCTAAGGAAGCTGCTCAGTTCCAGGACAATTAGAGGTAGGCAACAAATGTTGTCCCATCCCATTGTGTCCATATCACATGTATAAGTACAAAAGCAAGGTACAATATAAAAATGAAGAGAGTTAAGAACCTGGAATAATGTTGAAAAAAAATTCTAACAGAATAAATTTTTAGACTTCTGTGTTCCACCTGCGTGGCACATAAATTCTTGAAGTTAAAATCTGGTGCCAGATCAGAAAGCTAAAACAAAACCTTGTTCCTGACTGTGAGGCTAGCAAATAAGTTAATAGTACAATCCTGATAGTCTTTTCACTCAAGGTGTGGATGGTTTTAAAAACCTTTTCGAAGTTGGCAAGAATACGCTTGTATGACAGAAAATCAAGATCTGATAAGTATTATTGTCATCCTGTCTTACAATTTACCTAAAATAGCCATTAAAATGGAATGCAATTCTTTATAGAAAGAAATATAGAATACAAAAGTGGCAATGTAATGGAGTAGTCTATATAAACGCTAAGTGAGGTCGAAGTTGGAACATTGTGTGCAGGATTGTCCTCCATGCTGTAAGAGTGTTGAGACAAAGGACCACAGGTTCATAATGGTAAGAATTCAACAATATTCTAATGAAAACAATGCCAGTTTTTCAGAAAAAATTAAGACATTACTGAATAGAGGTAGAGTGCTCAAAAACATGAGCATGTAATAGTGTAGGTAGCACAAACATTTATTCAGAGTGAGGGGATGGCACAGGGGAGATGGATATAAAATTAAACCGTGATAACAGGAGAAACATTTTCCACACGGAGAACTGCAAGGCTGCTAAGTGCACTTGTGGAGTTAGTTGAAGAAGATACAATGTCAAGATTTAGAATGGGACAGCTAGATTGATTAATGAAGGGAAATGAAACTGTATGAAGTACGATAGAGAAATGGAATTCCTATTGTAACTTATGTCGAATAAAATCACTAACAAAGACTCATTGGGCCAAATGGCTCATTTTCAATGTTGTAATTTTTATTTACATATCCTGTTAACATCACTACACATCATTAAAACTTGCATAAGATGACGTGCATATTGTTACAGACAGAATTTGTGTATTTTCTTACTGCCAATGATCAGTGCATCTTATAGGTGAGGGATGTGTGATTTTCTACTCTCAGTGTGATTGTCTCAACGTAAATAACTACAGCAACAATTTTCTTTTGAGAATTAACAAAGGAGATAATTTATTATCACACATTTGCCCCAGAGCGCAACATATCACTTACTTAACTCTCATACATTGCCTCTCACACAGAAAGACTAGATACAGATGAAGAAAAATCACAATTGCAATTCGCGAATATTGCCATTTCCTTTGTAGCAGGACTGTACATTATTAAATGAGTTGATGCTTTACTTGAAGTGGAGTTCTTCTAAAGCAGAGAAGTTTCTGTAAGATGCAAGGCTTCTTATAGTCAAATTTATAGGAGCTTTGTTCTCAGGTGAACATGAAGTTGAAATGCATTGGGAAGAGTCTTTCTCCTATTTACAAGGTATTCCTGTTTATTACCACGGCTGCCGAAATGACTTGCAGTGAATTCAATGGCTTTCTGCTGAAACTCTGTGCCTGGGAGGACAACTTCTTGATGTTATTTAAAAAAGCAGAGGACAAAATAGTCCTCACCATGTGAGTTGTACTAGTTCAAAGTCTTCTGTCCAAAATCTGATGGTATGTCAATTACGCATGCACTATCATCATTCTACACTTTGAAATTTATCTAGTCTAGTTTGGATAAGACATCATCAGAATATAGTAGATAGTTGATGGGGATTTGTTCACATTTACATAACACACAATGTCTTTTGTCCATGGTGAACCATAAGGACCAGCTGACTAGAATGCTGTGGGTCACTTGTTGATGATCTATCCCTAAACAAAGGCATGTGTGAATTCCCAGGTGGGTATGAATGTTGATATCTAATTAGGTATTTTCCAGAGACTTGGATGGACTGGAGTTCAAAATGTCAAAGATCACAGTATTTGCAATGGCTGCTTTAATATTCAGTGTTCAAAATTTTGAAGCATTGACTGAAAATTCATAATATACTAGAACATGACAATAAGGAGGCTATTAACTGTACTCACAGAATAATTAAATTCAATTGATTAGTTACACTATAGATGTAACAGTGAGGGTAAATGAGTCACTGTCCAACAGTCACAACAATTTCTACTCCAGGACCAAAGGGGTTGGCAAGTGGACTCTGATTTACTAGCAAGAAATAATACATTCCCCAGACCTTTGGATAGTTCAGAAAAGGTGGAACACATAAACATATTCCTTCTGGTTGTCAAAACTGAATCCTTGTGTATTAATGTATGCTGTTTTGAGCAAACATAAATGGGCTACATGATGAGCTCAATTAATTATCTTAAGTTTGTTGTTAGAACACCTTAACAGACTCCATCACATGTTAAAATTCACTCTTGAGGAAGAGAATCCACTACTATCGACAGTAAACCTCCCCTCACTGGTCAATATAGCATTTGGAATTCAAACATCTCCACTAGCTACATGACTGGTCTTATCAGCAATCTTGAAAACTGAGCCCGAACCATTTGCTCACTTTGCAAGCTTGATGCAGAAATAATTATCCTGCTGGGCTATGGTTATCCTGGTCAGGTCACTTTTCACTCTATATTGCACGAACTTAGAAATGGGCCACATTTGGACATGGAAAGCACCCATTCTACCTCAAGTTACCTTGTAAAAACAAAGTAGTTCAAAATTTTGAACAACAGACTAAATAAACTATTTCATGTTGGGACTATGCAGTAGTATTATCTGCTAATAGGATATTGGCATTAAGTGAAAGAGACATTCTGCCGACCACACAATTTGAGCAATGTTGTGTATAAATTTTAATGCTGATATTATGCTATGTATATAAGCTGCATGTCCCAACAATTGACTGATCAAATCAAAATAATATGTTCCATTTGTTCTTTACCAACACAGGCAGGATACAGACCATGTACAACCAGTCAGCACTTGCAAAACCCAAAACAAAACATCAGCTGTTAGATTTGGTTCTGCGATTAATCTGCAAGTGTTGACCAATCTCAAGTGTGCTGATAGCTACACTATTAGCCAATTTAAGATAATTAGTTTAATTTGTATCATAGTTCATTTCATGCTTGTTAGAAACCTCATGCATTCAAATGCAAGGACCCAATCACTGCAAAGTAATATGTTCAAATCTTGGGCTTTCTTTGAATTACAAAGACGCTTGGGAAACTTGTAGTTGTAGCCTTTTGAAATTTAGAGCTCATGTACTTGTCCCAGTTAAGGCAGGACAGGAAACTACAGTAACATGTCTCTTATTTTCAATAATATTCAAGTTCCGTAATAGCAAACAACTATTCGGGTCATCATGATTATAGCATAAATCGGACAATAAATTCCAGTCATCACACATGTGCAATTAAATGCAGAAAACAGGAATTTGCTATCTGAGTTGCCCTACTTCTCCAGATATTTCTTCAACCTTATATCTTACTGAATGACCTGGCAATGAAACAATGTGAATAGCATGAGGTTGCTGAGGATACCCATTAAACATGCCAGTGCAAGTTCGCCCTTTCCCATTCCAGTGTCAGTAAATTGTAAACAGTGATTAATTTCAATGACCAACAACCAACTACTTCGGCATTGAAAATTAGGTTTTACAAGCATGAAGAGTGCAATAATGTGCTATATGGAGATGGCAAGGAAAGTGAATGAGAAGGTCAAATAATTAGGGGTGTTGCCCTGCATAGACATTTTCCACCTCAGGAATTAAGTATTTGGCAGGAATGCTCATTGGTGAGTTGAAAAGGTCACTACCAATTAAAGATCTTAAATGGTCAATTACCAGCCACTTAAAGACTTCCAGTCACTACCAATCTGAATACCTGCCTGCCCAGCTAGGGAGAAAAGTGGCTGTTTTACCAACTAGGAAGTTAGAGTGACCAGTCTGCTGGGTTGGGGTACAGATGCTCCATTTACCCCAGTCTGGCGCCAAACTTAGAAAGAGATTGGAGCAATGGAATGGCTACAGAAAGCCACCCATTCCCCACCTTTGCTTCTGGGTCCTCTCACGCTCCTTTCTCAATGGTATTCCACCCTATGAGACTGAAACCAAGTTACCATCTCAGCTTCGGATCCTCTGAACTCTGGGCCTGTAGAGATGATCACTAGGACTTAGCAGCTGGCTCATGATTGACCAACAGCTTCCGGTAGGACAGAATTTCACTGTCAAGACTCGCACTTTACCAAGAAGCTGGCAGGTCAGCTCTTACATTGTTGATTTAGCTTGGTCTGATGACAGGGAGTCAGTCACCCTCGAAGGTGACAACAGCAACATTTAGTGCATGGAGGACTAAAGCTCAGCCCAATTCTCATTCCTTCAGGTTTTAAATTACTGCTGATTTTTTTTATATATGTAAACTTTAAGAACATTTTATTTCTGTCTCTTTATGTCTTTCTTTTAGGCCCTTAATTCCCTGTCTTCATTTCACTTCCTGAATTTGATTTGACATTGAATCAACTATTCAAACTGACAGTTCCAAGTTCAGACTCTGCATTCTTCATGAATGATTCTTCAGCTTTAAAGTGGTGGAAGGAAGTACAGGCCGTGTGCACACAGGTACAGATTCCCAAAAGGGGACTATGCCAAAATCAGGTCTGTCATTGACTCAAAAATCAGTAGTTTGTTTTATATATATTTTGCTGCAAAATATCTCTAGAGCATTAGGGACATAAAACTTTTACAGTATTGAAAGTAACTGGAAATTATGATGATACCTTGTCTGGCTTGTAAGCCTAAAGCAAACGACAGATTCCTTATTTAGTCCTAATGCTTCAATATTGATCACATCGTCTACCTGCGGCTCAGTGGCAATCAGCAATAATGGGAATCTCCAGATTCCACCAGTGGCAGACTGCACTTTCAGCATTGCTGACTGGCTGAAATAAAACAACAAAAAATGGTTAACCATTCATTTCTATGAAATGCAATCATGTCCTAAATATTTTGAAGATTTGATACTTGAATTGTTTCTGATTATGAATAAAATTAATCAAGCAAAGAAAAAAGTCAACTTCAAGTAAACAGTGTCTTGAGGATATATATAATGGTGGTTTGGCATTGATCCACTTCTTCAAACCAATACCAGCATCATTGTCGGGGGGGCCATTATTGTGACAAACACTTTGATTAATTTTCCAGACACACCAAAAACAATACCAAAAATGGTCAGTTAATCAAAACAAATGCTGAGATTGCCTGCAGCTGCATTCCACTGATTTGAATTACTTCCTAAAACTGTGTCCAATTTCATTTCAGATAAGGATATGATGCACAGAGAAGTTGCAAAGAATTCATAAAACACAACAGCAATGGTAGAATCAATGAACTTAACGTGAAGTAGAACCAACTACTAATTTGATTAGCTTTGAGAAGTAATCAATTCTAAATTTTTGCAGTCACTGGTTCACTTAAATAGCTGGAAAGGTTCTTCATTTGTATATGTGAGGGAAAGTCATTATCGTTTGGCTTGACTTTGCATAAACAAAATAATTGAAGAAAACCACTGATACAGGTGGTTTCAATCAACACAGAGCTGTAGGAGAATTCTGTTGTCATGATGCAGCATTCTTAGTTATCATATTCTGGTCATGACGAAACAGAGTGTGTAATGTAAGAAAACATGTAAATCATTTAATTATACTGTGTGTTGAAGTTAATATAAACAAATCGTGTTGATTACCACTCCATAATGACATATCAAATCCACCTCCTGCTAGCCTTCCATCTGGTACTCAAATGGACCAACCCTCCTGACCAAAATCTACAAGCAGATATCCTTCAAATCAAGGAATGGGAATACGGGTTGTCACGGACAAATTCCTTGTGATAAATTCCATCTGTTGAATGGTATGCTTTAAACTACATAATGAGAATGGTCCTTGCTAGACAAGGTCAGGACAAACCAGGGCTCCTGGGCAGCCAAATTCCATCACTGGCGTCACGGTACAAATCCCTTATGCACTAGCGGTGAGCGATAAACAATGCTGCACTTTACTGAGGAATGATCCTCTGCACAGTAATTGATGGACTAATCACTTCAAACTTAGCAAAGGAGGTGGTGATCTGGGAATTTACACACACTAAGTAAATAAACTAAACTAAAACTTCAATGTTAACTTTACATAGTGATAGCTGAATTTTAAGAATTGTGGAGAACACTGAAGGATGCTTTGAAATATCAATGAAAAAAATGGGTGAATTATCATTCATCAGCATTAATCAAGATTATTTGAATTTTTTAAAATGACTTCAGAGAGACAAAAGCAAAAGTAGATTTTTATGAATGGCATAATCCCCCATGAGTATTATTCAAGAATTAACTGAATACAATGTCATTCATGTTTATCAGATATTGGGTAGATATTGACTTTTGGGAACATGGTCATTGTGGGATGTTCAATTTCATAACTACCCAGAGAAAGTGTGTTTCAAGGTAGTTGTGTAGGGATGGAAGATGGTGGGCAGATGGAATATTGGTAAGCCACAGTCACTTAGAAACTAGTCACACATTAACTGAGACCCTGATTATTTTTATGGAAAGAGTTCTTCCAGGCCCCATAAAACTAATTTCAAACATAACTTTGTTGAATCTTCAGCCTTATGACTTGTGAAAGTGTTGGGAGTGCACATGTACCAAGCAATTCCAAATAAAAATGGCAATCCAAATCCTAGCATATTAAAATAGGCCTACTGCTTGAAATATCAGGCACTTTGGGAGCCAAGTAGAATGGCCTTTACAAAAAGAAGCAAGCCACATAATTGAAATTAACATCGTAATTCGGCTACCTACCCCAGTTTGAGGCTGCTACGATAGCACAAATGCGAGATGCAATAATGTAAAATTATCTGCATCTTAATTTTAATGGAAATTACTTATTATGATGAGTATACAATTCTCATGTACCATTGGCATCTTGGTACATTTTAATAACACATAGAAACAGCCTTTGCAGCCAATCTTGCAACACTTCTGTCAGGAAATTCAGATACCAGCTGACGTGAAAACCATAAGAATTTCCAGCTATGATCCAAGTGAATACCATAATTAAGAAAACTTTGTTTTTCTCTACTAGACTTTGAGATTGTCTTAAAAACCTGGTATCTACTTTCACGCAAATTTTTATTGTCAAAGATGACCTTGTGGTTCATGTTGCATGATTCACATACCTGACTGGTTTATATGGTGCAAAAATAATATTGAAAGTTAGTGTGACAATGCCTGTTTCTGTGTCCCAATTTTTCTTCACAAAGTTTACTGCAATTGTGGACTCCATTTGAATTCTGGCATTCTCTGTGTCAAATTGAATTTCATAAAAAAAGTCTCCTGCTGGGGTTTGTCCTGCTGTACAAACAGAGAAATCCAGTGTGACATTTCAATGACCTTTATAATATGAAACACTAGCTCACAAACAGATTTTACACAGAATCAGACATAAAAATAATGCAAGCATACATACTTGTGATCATTTGCCTGTTTATCTGTGATAGTAAGAACATGTCAGAAGACTAAGTTTGTTTTGTATTTTCACACACATTTAATTTCCCTTTGGAAAATATTGAGGAAGCATCGGAGGGATTAACAGACCGATCATCAACCTGTTGATCCAGTGGAATACAAACCCAGAGCATCTGGCCTAAAGGCAGGCTTTCTCCCCACTCAGCCACAAGACTTAGTCGAGAGGGGCTGAGAAGTGACAGGTACTTATGAAAGCGACAGAAACCCACGCAACGAGTAGAAGCCTGCAGTGACGTATCGAGCAGCTCAGCAGCTGACTTCCAATGTGATAGTAGCTGCAAGGGAAGTTTAAGATGATTGTCAAGATAGTGGGTCTTCTGTACCACTCACTTGCCTTTCTGTAACCAACCTCAGAGTGTGGAGGAGCTGGTGTTGGACAGGGGTGGACAAGGTCAGAAATTACATGACACCAGGTTATAGTTCAACAGGTTTATTTGAAAACACAAGCTACCGGAGCTTCAGTCCTTCTTCAGGTGTGTCGTGTGATTTCTGACCTTGTCCAACCTCAGAGGGAAGCATTGCATTAGTGTATGTTCAAGAAGAGAGGGAAGTATCAGATTATAGCTGACTGTCACTGTCAGTGCTGCATGACAACTGTAGGACATCTCATAACAAATGTGCAGGTTCTGTATCTGCCTTCCTGCTGTGTGCGAAAATAGCTCCCATAGTTGCATGGTTGTTTCAGTACCTGCAGAGGTGTTTGGTCTCCTTTAGTAGTTGTGACCAGAAAGGCAATGTCAGCATCTGCGCTGCCAGCTACCCAATTAAAGCTGCTACAATAGTCAACTAGCATCAACAAAATCGCAGGATTAGGTCTCAAAATTAGATCATGAAATATTTGTGCACAAACAATAAACTCACTAGGTTCTTTTTTCTGTCCCTTATTTCAAGAGTCAACTTTATGGAACTTAATAAAAATAAGCTGACTGGCACCTAGCGACAGTCATGCAAAACAAAAATTTGATCAGAATTATTAATTCCTCATGTGTTAATCCATGTAATTTCAAGTGCATTAACTTCATAGTGGCAGGTTTTAAGAAACCCAACCAGCCACATATTCCTTCATCATACAAAGACACAGCATTCATTCGAATACTGTTTCACTTTGTGAGGAAATGCCTGGCATCAATTTGATAATTTCCCATTCCCACAAACTTGAAATCCAGAGTTCAGTGTGGGAAGTCAGAGATACAAGCCTATAGGTCAATAATAAATGATACATGCTGGAAGTATTCAGGAAATTAATCCTTGTGAAAGACACGAAATAGATTGAGGCCGTTGACAAAAAAGTTGAGAAGTACTGTCCTTGCAAAAGCTAGGAGTGTGAGTAGCACAAATATTTGTCACGTAGCCATTCTAAGGGCAGCTACTAAATCCAGCTACGTTTTTGTGGATCTGTGGTTCTGCTGTGGACTAAGGGGGCGTAATTTATTTTGTAAATGCAAGGTTCAAGGCAAAGATATGATGCAATTTCCTGAAATCTGAACAAATCAATGTTGTATTAAAACAATCACACTGAATAAAGCATTTCCAGCAGTTTGTTCAATGCAGGGGCTAGAAACTCTCTGTATTTGTTAGTAGTGCATTGGTTCCTATTTGTGGGATACACAATAATTGCTGGAGCTAGTCATCAAGACTTGAAACATTAGCTTACTTTCTCTCTGCTGCTTGACCCACTGTGATCTCCAGAACTTTTCATTTACAGTACAGATTCCAACATTTGTAGTAATTTGCTCCAATATGAAGCTCCTTCCATTTGATTCTTTGGAGCACCAACTGATTCTTTTTAGAACCATTATTACAAATATTAAATCAGTCAGTCAATCAGCTGTTGTTACTTGTTCACAAGCTAGGCTATGACTTGCTCAGAAAAGGGCAATGTAATTTAATCCAGTCCAGTTTCAGAAATTGTGTGAAGAAATTCAAAGTAATACAGTCAAAGGAAAGCAAGCTTTGATGATACTGCTTTCAAAACAGTTCTGCTGATTAAAATATACCAATCTCAAACAATAATGTTATTTGATATTTATAAAAAGAAATAGCAAAAAAACAGCAATTGGTGGCCATTTGGTCCCTCGAGGTTGCTTTACCATTCAGTACGTTATGGCTGATCTGCTACTTCAAGACCACTTTCCAATCATATTCCCATATTCTTCTATTTCTATAGTATTCAAAAATGTGTTGATTACTAATTTGAAAATACAATTTTATATATGGGTGCCATGCTCTTTGGTGTAAAACTCCTTTTCATTGATTGAATTTACTTTTTACTACGTTGGGGATTAATGTGTTATTCAATTTTAGGCATGACAGATTATAATTAAGGAAATCCAAAAGTTGATGCCCAAGATGTTCCACTTTGTGAAAACTGTATTTTGTTGTCTGCCACACAATTGAAGGGCCTTAAACTCCGTGAATGGAGCGATATATTTGCGAGGGAGATACAAACTAAATTTACCATAGAAAACCAAGTATTTTTCTGTTTCAAATTAACGACACTTTCAACAGTTTCAGGTGTTAATTACTGCCAAACAACCTTGCTGGCACTGAGAGTGAATGACTATCAGCATAAAATTTGAAACAAGGTCTCATTGTTATAAGAGGCTTTAAAAATGTAAATTAATCTTTTTTTCTTTCAGGACCGTGCCACATGCATTCTTTTACGATATGGCTTATTGGGAGCACCTTCAGGACAAACCACTACAAACTACTTTTACAGCTGCTGAAAAGATTTGCTTGAATATCTTTTAAGACTCCATTAACTGTTTGCCTACTTCAGTAGGAACCTTGCCCCTTACACCTATCCCAATCAGTGTCCTCTTCCATTCTCATCATGAAAGCTCTATTTTCTCCTTGAATCCAATATTTCTTTTCTACATTTCACTTCTTTGTCTGTATGTGATTTTAAACTTACTTCACCATTCTCATTCATACTTCCTTCTTAGCCTTTGAACTTTTAATTTCACGATCCTGACTGTTTTTTTGCCATGTTCACTCCGATCCCAGCTGCCTGATTTGCCTCACTACTACGTTATTAGCACATCAATAACACATGGCACAAATTATAATGATGAATAAATGGGGAAGGGAAAGTCTAACTAATGATAAACATCATTCATTGCTCTGCAGGGGCAATTATGGCCCATTACCTCCAGTTATTACTGTGCTCCAGTTCAATGGTCGAAACACCAATGGTTTGCTTCTGTGCAGGATTAACTTAGCTTCAAAATTCTTACCAAACATTTTACAATCATTGAACCCAGCAGGTACATCATTGAAGGTTTTAAAAAATCTCTGTAAGGAAGAGCTCATTGAGATCCTCCCATGGCATGATCCTTCACAGATTGTGTAATCAAGTTATTTGAACTATGCTCCTACATATAGATGCTCCATAAAGGTCAAGGGAACAGCAACTGGGAAGTATGCACCCCAAAAAAACAATAATAATGGACCTTAACAAAAGCTAAATTCCACTTAAGCAATTCTTCATATGCCATAGTCTTTCATAATATTATTAGCAGCTGCCCTCAAAATGAAAAAAAATGATCCATATAGAAATTTACTTATTACCTATCACAATGTTCATGATGTATGCATTAAATTGATACTATTGTTATCGTCAATAAAAAGTCACTGTCAACAGATTATGGTGCTTGCCTTTGGTGGCTTTTTCTGTTTTCAATTATTGTGTTACACAGAAAGGGAACATGACAAGTCAAAATAAACAAAATGATCTTAAAAACCATTATGCTAATTGCTTCACCGAGTGAGCTTTCATGATTCTAATCTGGCTAGTTTTAATGAGTAAGCTCAAACTGTGAACAAAATCTTGAGAGAACATGTAAAAATTGGTGGTATAACATTTTTTTTCTGTGATTTTAATGTATAAAAGAGGCATGATTTTCCTAAACAACCAGCATTGCATCATCTAGTATTTCTTCTGACAACTGAGGAAATCTTATGCCAGGTTTTTTGAGGGTTGAGGCCCAAGAAACTCTGACTTAGGAAGTTCCATCCCTTGTCTCTCTGCGTCAACTGTTATTTACAAGACAAATGGGAGTTTCAGTGTTACACAATGATCTGAGAAATCTCGTACCAGACCAAGTATTCAATCCTTTAAGTAAACTCCGAGGAAAGTACACTAGAATTACGTGAAGTTGCATCCCTCTCGCAAATATATGTCTTTAAGCTCATCATGCTTTTGTATTTTTTCCAAGCACTTTGCAATCCTGTGTTCCCATTCCTTGTTCTATTTTTGCTGCACCCTAGTCTACTGTTAGTATTATTATGCAAACTTTACACGTTGACTGCCACAAGAAAGAAATGATTTAGCTTTAAAGTTTACCTGCCAATCTCTGCTTCCTTCTGAGAAAATGTTATGGTTAGTAATTAATAAATATGGAAAACTGCCTCATGTGAAATCTAAGTCCTGGTATATTACCAAAATAGCAAAACCACATTATTCTACACATGATATACCAAGTAAGCAAAACAGAAAACTGTGAAAAGCAAACTGGAATTGGCATTCATTGAGAAAATATAGTTTTATAAAAACCACAACAAAATAATTTAGTGTATGCTGCAAGGTTATTATATCAACTTAAGTTTCCCTTTGGAGGAAAATGTTTTGTTAATTAATGTTGAAGAATAGGGGAAAAAATGGCTGAATCATGCAGAATGCCAATACTTGTTAGTCTCTCACATTTTTCATGGTGGTGATGCTCCCCCTGCTCAATATCCTCATTTCCTCCTCAGAAAATGATGCTGCTCTCCCAGCTCTTCAGTATCCATCAAATCCCCGCATGGCCTGCTAGGATTATATAGCA